CTGAAGTCCCTCGGCCCTTAAAGGGGAAAGGTTGCCTACCCTGTATTATAGGGTTTTCTTGGCAAGGTTTGTTCAGAGGGGGTTTGCCGTGGCTTTCCTCTGAAGCTGAGAGAGTGTGACTTGGGCAAGGTTACCCATTGGGTTTTTGTGGCTGAACAAGGATTCAGACACTGGACTCCAGAGTCATAGTCCAACACTCATACTGCTGCTATACCATGGCTATGTACCGCCCTATGTACCTGGCTTTTTGTGTGTGTTGTGTATCTTCTAGAGTCGTTTCTGACTTATGGCGACCCTAATCTTCTCATAGGGTTTTCTTGGCAAGGTTTATTCAGATGGGGTTTACTATGGCCATCCTCTGAGGCTGAGAGAGTGTGACTTGGCCAATTATCCAAGCACAATATATAGTAGTTATAAAATGATATATCTGCACTGATACACTGTGGCTTATGTTATTCTAATATCCAGATTTCAAAATTTCCTAATACTATGTATCTTCTAAGATAGTGCAACTCTTGTCTATTATGTATAATTTAAATATGCATATGTTGTTCTTTTGAAAGCCAGTGTGATTATAGTGTAGTGTTGGACTGCAACTCTGGAAACAAGGGTTCGATTCCCAGCTTGGCCATAAAACCCACTGGGTGACCTTGGGCAAGTCACACTCTCTCAGCCTAAGGGGAAGACACCCCCCCTGAACAAATTCTGCCAAGAAAACCACATGATAGGTCCCCCTAAATTGGAAACTACTTGAAGGCACACAGCAGCAGCAACAACATATTGTTTTTATTTTTACCCATTTAGCATCTCAACTACATTACCTTTCCTTTCTCCTATACTTCTTACCTTTTATGATTCCCAGGCTTACACCATGGGAGCAAAGTACAATAACACCCCAAATCCAGAGTTCTCCCTGCCCTCCCCATCCAGCTATTTAGGAAATGAAAGTGAATTGGAAACAGATTAAACCAAAACAGGACTGTCAGATTCTGTGCCAATGGCTGGTCTTATTTGCCAAGGAAGCAGCCCTTTGGGGTTGTTTTGGTTTGGTGGGCCACGATAAAACCCCACTGTTTTATTTTAATATGGTTTGTTTTTACTTTCCAATATGAAGTGCTCACACTTTTGTGTATATTCAGATTTATATTTATTTATTTTATATTATGTTTATTTATAGCTCTATAAGATTTGTATAACTGTTAGGGTGTTTTGGTTGGTTTTGTTGTCATGCTGCTGTTGTTTTGCCTTATGTTTTGTTAACTGTAATAAAAGCTTGAGAGACTGACTGGTAGGGCCCCAAAGGTAGAAAGGTAATTCATTTCATTATTTTATTTGTATGCCACATTTCTCCCAGGAGGGACCCAAGATAAAACACTAAAAGGTCAAAAAAATTCAAAACAATTAAAATGATCTACAACATTATAAAATCACATAAAAATATACAAAAGTTGAAAGCATAACTAAAACCCACCACAAGGGCAGGTCTTGTTTGGTTTTAGAGGGAGAAAGCATTGTTAAAGCTTCATGGTTTCTTCTTAAAAGGTAGGTAAGGATAAAAGTTAAAAAGATATGCTGAGATAAAATCCACCTGCTGCCTTCAGAGAGTACTAATGGAGAAATTTGTTGTTGTGTGCTTTCAAGTAATTTCCGACTTATGATGACCCTAAGGCCATAACTATCATGGAGATTTCTTGGCAAGTTTCTTCAGAAGGGGGTTTGCCATTGCCTTCCTCTGAGCTGAGAGAGAGTGACTTGTCCAGGGTCACCCAGTGGATTTACACAGATGAGCGGAGAATCAAACCCTGGTCTCCAGAGTCTTGTATTCCAATGCTCAAACCACTATGCAAAAGAAATTGGTCAGCAAACTGAAGATTAGTGCATTTGTTGTTGTTGTTGTTGTGTGCCTTCAAGTCATTTATGACTTATGGCAATCCTAAGGCAAACCTTAGCAGGTTTCTTCAGAGAGGGTTTGCTGTTGCCATTCTCTGAGGCTGAGAGAGTGTGACTTGCCCAAGCTCACCCAGTGGATTTACATGGCCGAGCCAGGATTCAAATTCTGGTTTGCAGAGTTATAGCCCAGCACTCAAACCACTATACGCTATGCCACGCTGGCTGTCATGGCAGAGAATGTTTCTTGTTGATCTGGTTTTGAGTCCCATTTTCAGGGACTCAAAACCTCTTCCTCTCCCTCTTTACTAGAACAGTAGTGGAGAATTCAAAGACACAAACACACAGTCTGGATCAGTATGTAACGGGATATTGTTCCACCTTTGAGACTGAGAGAAAGAAGTTTGTAGCATAAGCTTTCCTAGACTGAGGAGTTTATCACACGAGGGAAATCCCGTGCAGAAACGGGGTTTTAAATTGAAAAAACCCCGCAAAAGCAGGCAGATTTTCAGACGACGTAGCTGTTAAAATGGGGTTAACCCGAATGGAAAGTAGTCAGAAATTGCTTCTTTTTACTTTCAGAAAATCCCGAAAGTAAAAAGAAAGCAGTTTTTGACTACTTTCCGTTTGGGTTAACCCCATTTTAACAGCAATGTGTGTGAAAATCTGCCCGCTTTTGCGGGTTTTCCCCATCTTTTAAATCCCGTTTTTGCACGGGATTTTCCCCGTGTGATAAACTCCTGAATCTACTTCATCAAATGCATTCTACAAACTTCTTTCTCTCAGCTATGGAGAAAACAGAGAACTTTTGTTTTCATTTTTAAATTAACTGTGGTTTAGTTTTATATACAAAGCCTAAAATGTGGTTAATCGTAACTGGGTTATGTGGGTTACCTTTGGCATTCCTGATTGTTTTGGTCTACAATTGCCAACATTTAGCATGGCAAAGGATTGTGGGAGTTGTATTCCACAACATCTGGAGGGCTGAAAAATCAATTTGTTGTTGTTGTGTGCCTTCAAGTCATTTCTGAATTATGACAACCCTAAGGCAAATTCATGGGGGTTTCTGAGGCGGAGAGTATG